AGGTGCGTCGCAGGAGTTTTTTGGTTATTTTTATGTTTCCCAAGAGTTTACAAATAATGTCTATTGACTTGGGTCGCGAAGGTTTGTGACTGAAAAAAAGTTTGGGAAAATCTGGTCTAAATGGTTTAAACCCAGACACTGTATACTGCAGACCAAGAAAACAAAGAAAACCACGAATGACATATTAAAGTCTGTGAAGCACAACCTTGAAGAAAATGTTAAAGAGTGGAAATCAGTTAGTGAAATGAGACAAAACTGTAACTATTTATCGAGAGATTGCTCTATCTCCGATTGAAATGATGTGTGGAAGAACTATACATGACGTGAGAAGGAGAGGAAAAACTATAATGGGAGAAGGATATGATGTCAAAATGTGGGCAAAACTGAGTTGAACACTTTGAAAAACCATCTGTACAAGGCCTGGTTGAGAAACTGTGGGTTTAAAATTGGTACAAATCAACGATCAGCTGGAGTTTGTTTTGTTATCCATCATAAATATGTGATAATTAACAGAAAATAATGATGGAGCTGAACATTTTGAGCAGCATATTTGTTGGCAAAAAAGAGTTTTTTGTTTGTTACAAACCTGTTAATTTCTGTCTTGTTTTTAAAATGCTACATTATTAGGCCAATAAATTACAACAGACTACAGCAGTGACTATTTCTATAGACTAGACTATACAACTATGACACTCAATCTCTATGTACTCTGTTGTCTAAGTAAACCTCAGGCTCAGACTTTAGCTGCAGGAGTGTCGGCAGCTAGACATGCAATTCAGCATGAAGTCTGACTCAAAATATTTGTGTCACATGAGGATTCAAATTATTGATCGTCCAGAGTCAACCAGAGCTGGAATTCCCCAGGCAGAAGCACTGCCCTTAGTTTCTTTTTGCAACAAGCCTGAAAAATAAAAAAAAAAAAAAAAAAGAATTCTGAGAAGTGTTTTTCACAAACACAGACTAAACTTAAGGTCACATTATCTACAGATAAACAGGTTTTATAGGGCAGATCCCTCTTGGCGGTGATACGTTTTGATGAGATCTGTTAGGTATAGCATGGAAGAAAAAAGTTTGCCCTTGCACCAATTTTAATAATTTCACATTATTATGTCAAGTACGTCATCATTTGGAACAAATGACGCCATTCATTTCAGGCCCACTGTGTCTTTTGACATTGGAATGAATGCTTTCCACCAATTATCCATCAGTTTAATGCAGAATGTGACCCAGCATTGGAATATTTGACCACTGGGCATGCTTCCCTTATCTGTATCTCTCTTCTGTTGTCCTCTCTCTCTCTCTCTCTCTTTTTTTTTACACACACACACACACACAATAGTCAGATTTCAAGAATTTCCTCTGGGAGCTGTTCAAGTATGGAGGCCAAAGCAGGAGGACCTTCTCTTAGAGGATCTGATGTTGTGGTCTCGTTTTCAAACTTTCTTGCTTCTAACTTCACTGCTGTTTAATTAAACTCAAACGAACTACAGTCACCCACAGTGAGTTACAGTAAGAGTCAACTGCATGTCCTCCTGTAACACTTAGCCAAAAGCGGGGCTTTTTTGTGTGTCCGTGTGCACCTGAAGGCTGACTCTTTGACCCCGCTGACTATCATGGTGTTTTTGCCTCATGATCATGAGACCATGTCCTCCTCTCGTCTCCTCTCCTCTCCCCACTCTTAACCAGAAGCCGCAGGAAATGGGTTCTTGTGACACAGTGGTCTGTGCAGCTATGGAGAAGCCCATTACTGCGGTCACATGGCAGGTTAGGATAGACACTGATGCAAACATGTGAGCTCTATTTTCTAACCAGTGACACTGCCTTGAGGCCCATGACAATTTCACACATTAGAGCAGGGAGATGTTCAGATTCAGGACAGAAGGCCACGGTTTCTTTTTGTATATTTGGATAAATCTGAAATCAGCTTTGACAAATAAAACAGGTGAACTGTCTTCAACAGGTTTCCATTGCTCTCAACTCTATCTGCCCTGTGTTTTAGAAGGAAAAAAGACCGAGACTAAATCAGACCACTGAGAATCCCTAAATCCATAAAGCTAACGAGGGATAGCAAATTAAAACTTAAAACGAATTATAATAATGAATTCAAACGTATTCTATTTCATTGTTATATTTAACGATATTTCAGATCTGTCCTGTCTCCGCTAAATACACTGTAGGGAATCATATCTTAGCTTAGCTTTTAAAACTTTTATTCTCAACACTTACAACAGGGTTTAACAGATTTATACTTGTTAGGGTTAACAGGTGCAAGAACACCTGGGTATAACAGGGTTTAACAGATTTATACTTGTTAAATTTAGTAAAACAAGTTTTATCAGAAAATATAATTTCAAATGTAATGCCGGAAACCATTGTAATTAAAAAATACACGGAACGGGAATCCCGCCGCTTCGTAACTTTGTTCTTTATATGTGACATTGACGCCATTTTTTCCTTTTAATTAGTGAGATATTTTTAAACGTCAGATTTCAAACTTTTAAATGTACGGCAATACAGAAAACACACTGCGCAAAAACCGCCGGACTGACCGCATTTAATTTGTTTTTCAGATGAATTAGAAACGAATGCTTTAACTTTTGGTCTGATGTTTAAAAAAAAGTCAGCCTAAAAGTAGCCTAAAAAAATTGTCTGCAGTAAAATCCGATTTTCCCCACATTAAAAAAACAACAACAACAAAAAGGTTTTGTGTTCTATGTTTTGATAATAATAATAATAATAATAATAATAATAATAATAATAATAATATACGGGTTAGTTATTAGTTCTTATCTTTCTCTTACAAAACATTCTAGCAGTTGGTTATTACAAAGAACATTGAGAAATTATATTTTCTAAAGAAGACTTTGTAGTCTGTCTATGTCAAACTGTTTCAAAACGGTTGCATTTATTTCAGTAAAATCTTTATATAGCTACATGATAAAATGAATTATTATCTTCCGTAGGATTTAATTTTAAATAATGTGGTAAAACAGTAACCCCCGCCCCCCTCCTCCTCCCGGTACCCAGTCAGACAGACAGACAGACTTGAGGACCCCCTCGGGGCCGTGTACATCCAGCTGCTAAAGTAAATACACACCATAAAACCGCAGTTTTCCTCCAGCTCCAGCTCCGGCCTCTACACGGGCCCCGACAACAGAGTGAGCAACGGCGGACACTCTGGAGACCAGTCGTCGGTGAACTGTCACCTATGTATCGACTAAAACAAACAAACACGTCGGAGGCCTTCCTTTATGACACACACACGTACACGCTCACAGGCCTACACACTCAGGCCTACACACACACACACCCCATCCTCAAAACCACCACAGCCCCTACCATCCGCACCTCCGAGGCCCGACTCCAGGTGCTGAGGAGTATTTACGGGGAGACAGGAGCCGCAGAAGGAGATCCGTGAGTCCTGCCTGGCCAAGAGTGTTTTCTATGTGTGCGCCACTGGTGTCTTTGCTTGGACATAAGGGGAGAAAGACGCACACATCTCTCTCTGTTATCAATTTTTTCCATGTTTGCAGCACAAAACTGCTTTTTGTTCCCCATTTTTTTCATTTACGAGGGTTAATGGATAGAGGCTTGGGCGTTTGATCACATGTCCACAATTCACCTGAGATGGAGACAAAGAGAGCAAAGAGACGGGAGAGAGAGGGAGAAAACCGAGAGTCAGCCTCGACATGAGAGGCAACGGACACACACAGGGGTTATTGTTGTTGATCATTTTCTCTCTGTGCCCCCCCCCCCCCCCCCCTCCGCCACTCGTTGAGCTAAACGAACTGAGAAACGTCGCACTCCCGCTGTCAACGCAGGTAACGTGAAGTTAGCTCCGTGAGCTGCGGCGCTTTTAGCTCGCTAGCTCCACGGCCATTGAGTGTATCAGATGCTGCTGAAGGCGACTCTCTCTATTCCCGTAAGGCTGAATCCGAAGCCAGTGATCATGTCAGTGACCAAGTAGCTAAAGCCGAAACCAGTGTTCAAATGAGGGCAGAACTTCAACAAAAAGTGATTCTTTATCATACATCCACTGTTTTCTTTTGGAGAAACTGCATTTCTAAAATCGTTTTCAAGCTTTTGACATTTGTTTAGCCACAAACCTCACCGTGTCCTATTATTTATTTCGTTAATGTAAGACATACTATTCATTTCTGATTAATCTGGCTCCAGTTCATGATTTGGTTATTGTGATATACCTGGTGTCAGGTCTTCATCGCAGTTCGAGTACCGTTTATTTTGGCCTTCTGTGGAAGTATATTGTTAAAGTATTATTGTTATATTATTAAGTATATATTATGTGGAAGAATATTAGCCAACCCCCCTCAAAGGTGTCGTTTTTAATTCTGAGTGCTTGAGGAATTCCTTTTAATTTTTTATTTCAAATTCCCTCCGACGAAAATCCTTTACCATTAACACCGACGCCTGTGTTTCTCTGTGGGGACGTTGTTCTATGGGTTATATGGAACTCCATTCAGTGCGTAAACAGAGACGGAATCTCTCTGGCCATTGAATTACACTTTGGTGTCATGATTGAATGGTGTGTTTCGAGATTTATTACTTTTCTCAAAGATTTTTTTTTCTTGGCCAGCAGCGTGATGGTTCACACTCAAATGTCCGGGACAAATGATCTTAAGACACAATCTTTATAGTTTTCTTTTATTTATTTAATTATTTGAATCTCTTTTTTCGTGTGACTCAGATTCTCTCCTGAGGTCCTAAAATCATTTTAGTTCAACCGTTGACACGTAGAAGGATTTTTATAACTGTATTTGTTTTTGTCCTGAGAGAAAACCATATAGAGAATTCTAGAAAAGACAGTAAAGGAATAAGGTCAAATGTCACAGCTCAGGACCATGAGACCAAAGAATTAAAAATCGTAATCAACTTCAACTAATCATAAAACAGTTTTTGGTTTGTTTAACAGATTTGTTATATATGTATATAGTGCAGGTTCTAAAATAGTTTTTTACAGGTCCTATATTTAAATGATCATATTATGATAATTACAAATAATGTCAATACAAATAAATCAATATAATGTTCGGTGCATCGATGACGTTTCGATTAATCAAACAAAGACAAAAAGTCGAAATCAATCTTTTCATCGTGTTGCTTAAATTTGAAAAATAATAAAATAGCTTCATTTGATTTTGAATATATAAATGACGTTACTGTTTCAAAGATATATGGTCCACTTGCGCTTTTACCAGAAGTGACATTTGCGAGTTTTATTTCCTAATCAGCTTTACTTTTACTCGACTCCTAGCAAATGTTTATTTGTTTGATATGATGTGAACTGGTCTAACAAACCTGGCCTTCTCTGCCTCTAAATGGGAGCACTGTAAGAGTCATTTAAGCCACTCCGGAGTAAATCTCACGTCTTCTCTTTCCGATACGTTGCACCGATGTACAGGCGGGCGTTAACGCTGTGTGGCTGCGGGGCCATCCAATCACCAATCAGTGCGATAATTCGATGGCCAATAGAAACCGAGAGTGGCGACCGGGGGCGGAGCTGACAGTGTGTTGGAATCCAGCCTCTTTGGGAATGTTTTCTACTTTCAATCACTTTTTTTTCACCAGGTCCTTCTGACAAGGCGTTCTTTAAGCTGCGCTGTTGCCATACAGAGCAGCCATTCATCGAGTCTGCAGTCGGCCACACATGTTCAACCACTGGACATCTAAACTGGTAAGTTATGTAATTAAAAAAAAAAAACCTAAAATTTTTCAGCAAAAAAGTAACATTTATATCAGTGTCTGTAAGACATTTATATTCCATTATTTATTTTTACTGCTAATAGTTTTACCATATTTTGGCTGATGCACGACTTATTTATGAATATCATATTAGTCATTTTAGAGTTATTATCCTTATTATTAATTCCAGATGTTCTAGTAACAGTAAAAATGTCAATATTTGTTTTTTTTATTTATTAAATCTAAAGCGCCTTTGCGGAACGCAATTTCTTCGCTAAAATCCTGACAAGTTGAGCTTGAATGGATCACGAAAGACAGAAAAAAATAAAAATACATGTGTTAATTTGTCTATTATTGTCTTCTAAACCATGTTTAATTTTAAAGGTTCGTCGGTTTTTGCTGGAAAAGGACTTCCATCTGTCCGTGGAGAAGGTCCGGTCACGTCTTCGCTCCAGTATGATTCTACCAGAGAAGAGTCAACATTAGTCGATCATACCAGACGTCAAACATATTTTCATATTTTCGAGACGACAACATTTTCCTGTTTTTTTGGACAACTTCTAGTATTGCTTTCGGTGCTGTTTTTTTTTTTTATTCTGTGGTCGAAATAAAGAAAAATGTCAAGCGAGGAGCACAGCATGTCCGAGGAGGAGTTGAGTCCCGGGGGGTCAGACGACGGTCACTCACTGTCACCGACTCAACCCGGAGCGTCCCAGGGCCACGGCTCTCCTCTTAGCGGTCCGCCGCCGCAGCTGACCGCTCTGTGCGTCGCAGAGAACAGCGGCGACGATGGCGGCAGGATTACGGCCAAGTCAGAGGAGGAGGACGATCGCTTCCCTATCGGAATCAGAGAGGCGGTGAGTCAGGTGCTGGATGGATATGACTGGACACTCGTGCCGATGCCGGTGCGCGTCAACAACGGAAACAAAGCGAAGCCACACGTCAAGAGGCCCATGAACGCCTTCATGGTGTGGGCTCAAGCGGCGAGGAGGAAACTGGCCGACCAGTACCCCCATCTGCACAACGCCGAGCTCAGCAAGACCCTGGGCAAACTGTGGAGGTTTGTATGGATAGGCCGCCTCACAAAAGAACAGTGTGACCATACAAGTGGCACATTTCCTGTGCAGTCGGTGCGTAAAGCCTTATAAATGGGGGGCGGGGGGTGGGGGCCACACATTGGCTCCCTGTACTAAATGAGAGCAAAGGCAAATATCAGCACACAGATATTCAGTCAACGAAAAACACACACTACACGTTTAAAATCTACCGTTCGTCCACTAGCTGGGGTATGGGAGAGGGGGAGGGGGAGGTCGAGGGGGGCAGTAGTAGTAGCAGAAGTAAAGTTTTTATTATTATTGTGTTTCATGATGTTAATGTTATTTAACGAGCCGCTGTGGCGCAGTGATTCTGCCTGACCAGCTACTGCCCCACCTCCTGACCCCAGGATGGGCAGAAGCGGAGCCAGTTTATTTTGTGTCTGACGTTTTGGCTTAATGAAATACCTGAAAGAAAAAAGTACAGTGTTTTCAATCTCATTGTCGTTAACATTGATTCACTTGGTTTTGCCCTCCTCCAGACTACTGAACGAGAGCGACAAGAGGCCATTCATCGAGGAGGCGGAGAGGCTCAGGAAACAGCACAAGAAAGACTACCCAGAGTACAAGTACCAACCCCGGAGACGCAAAAACGGCAAACTTATTCCTCCTAGTGAGACCGACGGCCAGGGGGAAGGGGAGGCCAGCCACTCCCAGTCTCACTATAAGACCCTGCATTTGGAGCATAATGGTGGTGCTGGCTCTCCTTTGGGAGACCTCCATCACCACCATCATCACCACCATCATCCTGCTGGTTAGTACTTATCTTCATGACATTCACATTAATGTGTTACGATAGATTTTGGAAATTCTAAGAGAAACACTACATAGATTAGGGAGGTCAGGCAACCTGTGTTTCAATGTCAAACGTCACCTGACAATATCGGCTTTTCTCTGTTGTAGGCCAGGGCCACAGCCCACCAACGCCCCCTACCACCCCGAAAACAGAGCTCCAGTCTGGAAAAATTTTAGATGCCAAACGGGATGGGACAGCAGGGTCGGTTGGAGGATCAGGAGGGTCCAGAGGACCACTCGGTGTGGGGGCTGAAGGTGCATCTGGAGGTCCGTCCTCCTCAGGAGCTAAGCCTCACATCGACTTTGGCACCATGGACATTGGCGAGATCAGCCACGAGGTGATGTCCAACATCGAGCCTTTCGATGTCAATGAGTTTGACCAGTATCTCCCTCCAAATGGCCACCCACAAAGTGCAGCCGGAGCCTCCGCGGCCGGCTCCTCTGCCTCCACCTATGCCTATGCTTTGGCTGCTGCCAGTGGGCACTCAGCCTGGCTCTCCAAACAGCAGCAGCCCCCTCAGGCCTCCCCATCATCCTCTGACCCCTCCAAGGCACAGATCAAGAGCGAGTCAGCTTCCACGAGCCACTATGTGGAGGCTTCCTCTTCTCCTTCCTCAGGCACCCATGTCACTTACACCCCGCTCAGTCTCCCTCACTATGGCTCCGCCTTCCCCTCACTGGCATCCAGAGCTCAGTTTGAGTATGGAGATCACCAGGCCCCAGGAGCATACTATGCCCACTCCAGCCAGGCCCCGGGGCTGTACTCAGCCTTCTCCTACATGGGCCCGACACAGAGGCCTCTGTACACTACCATAGGTGACCCCTCCAGTGTGGCCCCCTCTCACAGCCCCACACACTGGGAGCAGCCTGTTTACACCACACTCACAAGACCCTAAGGGGAGGGCAGGACTGAGCAGAGGGAAATATGGGAAGTGTGTGAGTGACTGTATGTGCGTGCGAAAGTTGAGTGTGGTCACACTTGTGTCCATGCCATATTGATGTTATAGTAGATTTCTTTCTTCTTTTTTACCGAAAATAATGCAAGATTTATGAGGGGCCATTCACGGTGGAATTGATGATAAAAATAAAACTGCGACAAACAACAACGTACACAACGAATCACAGGTCAACCGCCAATGTACAAAACAAAGTGTCCTTAACAAATGTGTGCCATCATAAACGTGTAAGTCGGGATTCGCAGTAGAAAAGTAAGAGAGACAATAAGAATGGACAGATGCTGACCCACCCTCCCAGACCTGGATGGGTGTTAGAACGACTTTGTCAGATTTTATTAACCTAACTAAGATGTTTGTGATGTAATTGTGTTATTTTATATGAGTAGAAAGTTTATTGTCCTTGTTGATATTCTATAGGGTGTAATTCTGTGACTGATTTGACATTAGACTTATACACTTATGTACCACTGCTTTGGGAATAACTTTCATCTAGTAAGAAGTTAGCCCTTTCTTTACTTTGTGGCCAGACAACGATTGTTGCAACACATTCATACTTGTAGATAATATAGGTTATGTTTCTGTCCTTTTGTTGCATGGACTTTCATTGACCTGAACAATAAAACAATTAAGGGGAAAAAAAGGAAAATGGAGGGAAAGACAGCTCTTAAATATGTATTTCAGCTTATTGCTCAGTCCTGGACACTTACCTCAGTTTGTTTCATTTTGTGCCAGTAGAAAAGGAGGAGGACAACAGTTGATACCTGATTTATGAGTCCCAAAAACTTTGTTTTTGTATGTTCTTTTTTCTCATTTACATTCTGATCTAATTAATACATTAAAATATGTGAAAGCAGTGCCTTATTTTAATGTCCACGGATAATTGGCAAGCTCTGGGACCTGCCCAAGGATGGCTCACAGGTAAGAAGGTTTTCAGTGGTGTATAGGCCGAAAATATCTTTTTCTTCACAAGTTGCCTCTTTCTTCTTATTCTTGTTTCTCGTCTTCTTCTTCTTGTTCACACACTTTTCTTCATATTCTCTTTTTCTTCTTGTTATCCCTTTGTTCTTCCTCTTATATTTCTTCCTCTTCTTTTAATTTCTTCTTCTTCATTTTCCTCCTTTATCAATGTGTATAATGGTCACTACAACAAGTTTCACCTTTTTTGAGTGATGCATATTTCATCATTTTATACTGACCCTTCTGTTGTGTAGTCATAATTTTATGTAATAATGCATTGCGTGTCACACCTTTGCTTTTTTTCCATTTTGTATAATTATGGAGTGTTTTGTAAAGTGTTTGCTATACATGTACTTAAGTATTTTGCTTCACCATAAGAAAAGCAACAATGAAATATTATTGTTGCCATTTATTAAATCAGTTTATTTATAAAAAAAGAAAAATCCTGTGTCCGTTACATTATTTCACACGACAACACTAATAGATAACACACAGTTCAGCTGTTAAGGAATAAAATCAGAAACGTGCCGGTGAACTTTAACAACTCACAGTCAGAGCCCTCCAAGCTAAGCTGTTTAGAGTGTTGCGTGTGTTGCAGGCTAAAATTGACCACTAATTCCCCACATTTAATCGGCTGGGGACTGAATGTTACTGAAAATGACAAAGGGAACCATTCAGTAAGGTAGAGTGACAGAAAGAGAGAGAAGGGGTGGGTGTTAAGAACCAGAAGCAAGGCCAATTTCAGCTTAGCAGCCAGCATACACTGGACTTTTGTACGCATTTTCTGCTTCTACCATATCCTTTCCTCCCCGCCTGAAGTTGCCTGCATACTAAGACCATTTAGAGAGGGTCTAAAATTAAAATGTTTTTCCATATCCAGATATTAAGTTCAGTGCATGTAAAACACACTTTAGAGCAGAGGCAGTTAAATGTTGCTAAAAATAGTTAGTATAATATAGGGTTTGTGGGTAAAATAATGTGCAGAGTTGGAAAATATATTATGTAAAAGGAAAACTGACCGATGGGTATGTGTAATATACTGTTACATATTATAACTCTGTGTTACATCTCTATAGTTATTTTCTCAAATTTGTTTTCATTTATTTTTATGGAAACGTTTTGCCAACCTGGGTAATTAAAAGTAGCTAGAAAATGAATTTTGGGAACTTTCTTTACATTAATTTAACAATATTTGTGTGTTAACCTAAACTGACAAAAAAAAGGAAAATATTTTTGGTATGTATGTATGACTATAATAAAGTGAATTTTAAATAAAGAATTACACAATTTAATTATTCAGAAGTAAAACAAATATGAATGGACCGCCGCCACAGCAGGATAAATTATTGTCAGCAATGGAGCAATATCGCCGTTTTAGACCCCACACCAAGTGGGGGCGGTAATGCACCTTTGTTTTTAAGAAGAGAAGAAGAACTTCTTCCTGCGGCGCGAAATCAACAATAAGAGGACAGCAACTTGGTTAAAGGTATCAGTTTTATTACATGCATGTCACAATGCGCTGCATTAATTATTTATGTTGCGTATTTAAATGTATTGTAAAACATACAAACTTCTAGTTGTTTATAGATTTAATCGTATTGGCGGTGTAGGCATTTAGCTACGGTTAAAAACAAGTGCTTGAGTGATGGATGAACGCAGAATAGAAAATATGGCTAATAATTAAATAATACTGTAAACAATGTTTAACTCGTCTGTGATCGTTTACCGACCGTTTTAGATTGTTCTGTGAATTGGAGCTATATAAATCAAACTGACATGACGTCAGGCACGAGTTGGTGCTGCTCCTAATGCTTTTTCTCTGATTCATTTATGCTAGAACAATGGATCTGAGTCCCTTTGAGGCAGACAACTCTGTAAGTTGTCGACTAAGCTCCCAGATCCCAGATGTTTGCAAGACTGAGGACTGCTGCCTGGGCATTGATGAGGCGGGCAGGGGCCCTGTTCTCGGTATGACGTTCTCATGATCTGTGGATGTACTTTGAGTGTTAACTCAATGGCTTGAATAATGTTGTATACAAATTAACAGTGCTGTGTTTATCGTCCAGGACCAATGGTGTACGGGATATGTTTCTGTCCAGTGTCCAAAAAGGAAGACCTTAAGAACTTAAAAGTAGCCGGTAAGCTTGTACCACCAACTGACATGTTCACTGTAAACCAGGGGTGCCCATACTTTTTTGGATTGTGAGTTAATATTCAAATGACCAGGTTAAAGTCATCTGCCTGCACTGACTGTACTGTATGTAACTATAATGTATACGGGTCCTCGGTTCCTTGACCTACAGCCTTTCGTGTTTACGTTGCCATCTCCCACAAATTTATTATGAAGATTTTGTTCCATCGTTCTGATAATTGCCGATGAAACTCACCAACTAGATGGTGAGTGGAGCAGACAAGGGATCAGAACTCTGACATAAGTTGAGGACCCCCTGTATTTACTCATAAACGGAACATACTTTAAACAGACATTATACGTTGGGGGAGATTGATTACATTCATGTAGCTGCATGTCATAAAAGGATTACAGATTATGGTCAGTACTACACACTATGGTGTTAGGAAAACTGGTAAATAATTAAGTTATTATATTTATAAAAACATGGTCACAGCCCTGTCATGCACTCGTATTTAACTCACCTGTTCTGTTTAATATTTTTCCAGATTCAAAGACCCTATCAGAAGACGAAAGAGAAAACCTATTTCAGAAACTGGATGAATCTAGCAGTTACGTGGGCTGGGCGTTACAGATTCTGTCTCCTAACACCATCTCTACAAGCATGTTACAAAGGTAGCCTGTTCAACATGGCTGACACAGAATAACATGACCGTACATTTATTGTAATCACATGTCTGACACGATCTTGCCTTGTGTTCAAGGACAAAATACAACCTGAATGCTCTTTCACATGATACAGCGATCGGTCTGGTTCAGTATGCCTTAGACAGTGGAGTACAACTCAAGGAGGTAAAATATGTTCTTTACATTTATTTATTATTATGATTGTACACAGAAACATTGATAATACAAATATTGCTTAATAATATCATATATAATAAATTAATATCAAGGGCAATTCATTCATTCCCTTTTTGGTTCACTGTCTTACCTGTGTCTGTTGTTCTTCAGGTTTACGTCGACACTGTTGGCCCAGCAGAGAAATATGAAGAGAAACTCTCCCAGAGATTCCCAGGTATCACTGTGACCGTGAGGCCAAAAGCTGACTCCCTCTTTCCTATTGTCAGTGCAGCGAGTATCTGTGCCAAGGTTAGTGGACACTGTTGAGATGTAACTTTGGTTCAAATTATTTAGAGACAATATACACTATATGATACAAAACTTTGAGTTGATTTCACAACTTGCCACCACAAATGTTGTAACCAAAATGTAAGGAAATATATTTTTTCCTTTTACTTGAAATTACCTACAAGCCTTTCCTGCTTGTTTCATATTTCAGATATTTAATCATGCGTACGTTATTGATATACTGGCGATAAATAGCGATATTTGAACGAAAACGTACTGCATTTTTCCACCATGTGGCGAAATCAAAACAAACCAGGCCATGGTTGCCAGCATTTGACAACTGGCTTTATGTGCTGAGACCATATTTGTACTACGGTACTACGGATGTGATTGCTTGAATACTTTGATATTTTCTTTAGGGGTTTTGGAAGGGGCAGTCAAGTACCTATGTCAAGGTGCTTGATTGTTTTAGGAGGAGAGGGGATTAGTACCGTATTATTGTATTATTGTATGACTTGTGGGTCAAGCTGTAGCAGCTGACGATAACCTAGAAAAGCTTTGGAACATACTAGAAAAGAGGAGATCCCTCATATCTAGTGTGAAACGTGTTTATATCCTGTTAATGACGTACATTTCTTAGGTTGCAAGAGATCGTGTTGTAAAAGGTTGGAAGTTCACCGAGGACCTGGGAGAAGTTGACACAGATTATGGCTCAGGATACCCAAATGGTAAATGAACGAAAAAATGACTATAGTCATTATAATGCCGTATATAATATTTTCTATGATTGTATATGTAGAATACAAATAAATTACCGTTGAGAGCATTGTTATATATATTTTTTTTTTTTTTGTCAGATCCCAAGACTAAAGCGTGGCTGCTAAAGTACCTGGACCCAGTGTTTGGTTATCCTCAATTTGTCCGATTCAGCTGGAGCACTGCCCAAACGCTGATGGACAGCAAGGCCGTGAGCATTAACTGGTAAAGAACCTATACGGGAAAAAAAAATAACTGACAATAAATGTCATAGCTAAATACTTGGAGAAATAATAATAATACTTCATTGTTGCGGCTTAGGACATGCACTTAGTCATTAATTGTCAACGGTAAAAAATTTAAATGTGTATTCTGTTAATATATTAGTTAAAGAGTAAACTTCTTACCATCAGCAATGAGGAATGATCTGATAATATTAGTCTTGTTCCTTTAAATGGTAAGGTGAGGAATGACCTGATAATATTAGTCTTGTTCCTTTAAATGTGTCCTAGGGATGATGAGGAGGAGGACGGAGAGAAGAGTGCACGGAAGCAGAAAAACAAATCCATGTTGTCATACTTCAGTGCTGCAAATGGAAGTGATGACCAAAACCACCAGACACATCGGTTCTTCACTGACCGGAAGCTGAAAAGCCCTTGCACGCTTTAAAAACCTTAGAAGACGGTGTCAGTGATCTTCATATTTATATTGTACTGAAACAACAAAGCGTCCCATGTTTATTCAAATAAAATAAAACATAGTTTGTCTATAGATGCCTTGCATTTGGTTGGTATTTTACACTAGTTTCAGCATAACAAAAAACTAAAAAATATACATTTTGGCACATAAATATATAGAATTATAATACTTGTAGTAGCCGATTTTAAACACACGGTGGCTCTGTTGCACCAAAATGCGAATGGCTCATTTATTTTCCTTTTTATAACTAGTATTTAAGGCTCTGTCTCGTGATTGGGTTCTTGTAGAGAACATTGATATGTTATTTTATGTATTTTTTTAAATTAGTAATTTTATTCATTTTTATATAAAAAGCATTTAAATAATAAATAAATAAAAGGGACATTTTGAATTCCATTTGTACACCGTTGCCATTAAAATGTGAAAAAATATGTAGAAAGGGTTTGTAAAAATGCATTTAGATATGTTGATTATGGAAAACTTTCTTCTCATCTGCTTATGTGTTTTCCTGTGTAAATAACATAAAGATGCCTAAGTGACACAGGTCCACAATAAATCTCGTGAAATGCACTTACCATTTATATAAATCTAACATAGGGGAAAAAGTGACATGAGAAATGTTAACATTTACAGAAAGGTTTAAACATTTCAGAATTTGTAGCTTACTATTTTATAATTGATTTTAAAATGCCAAAAAAGTTTAATTAAAATAATTTACAGTGGTTTATAGTTCTGAAGAACTCTTCCTCACAAACAAGTTTGAAAACAGCTTTAACTCTTACAGGCCCACATTTTTAATCATTTAAATCAATTAATTTCCTCCACATCTGTATGTTACACCAGATTAAACCAATGCAGCTGCATACACTGCATCATGTATAAACACGTCCCTACTGCTCTGCATCTTTGATGAATTCATGTATGATTAATCAGTTCCAAGAACATTGATTGTGTAGAAAAGCTTGTCTACACGGAGCAGGTTTTTAGCGTAGCTGGAGCCACTGACCCATTTCTAAAAGATAGGCAGGGTTAGTTATAATAATAGACAGACAGTGGGAGCAGAGGAGAAAAAAATGGTGTATGGATTCCAACTAAATATTGAGCAAAGGAAGTGCAGCCCGTAAAGGTTCTGGAAGGAAATTTGTTTTTTAGTCAAGTCAATATTGATGAACGATGCATTCATGTACTTTAGATAGGAATTCTCCTTTAATAACAGTGACAACCGTTGATACCCTTTTTTTTTCAGATTTTGCATTAGCATAACTTAACAATCATCTCAACGCTGTTGATTACAGACTGGCTGCTGTCTGACCTGGTCTGTTTCCAGGTTATAAACATGTACATGATATACATGAATTGTTTTACTGACAGCTTTGCTGTCCATGACATACTGTATATTGTTTCATCACTTCCTGACTGACCACATCTTCAAAACCATTGGCTAAAATGAAGCCCATGAAACATTCCACAGTTCCCGTCTTGTCACGCTCCCTCAATCATGGTTATCAAACCAAAAATCACAAATTAAACCAAAACCCAACTAAAACCCAAACTTGATTTTCCCAGTTGGTCCTACTTAAAAACTACTATTTTGGCAACCCTTCCATTTAGAGAGTTTTTTTGTTAAGACTGTGTGACAGAGAGTGGTTAAAACGAAGGAACAGCTGCACTTGTTAAGTTGTGTGCGTCATACACACATATCAACTAAAACCCAAACTTGATTTTCCCAGTTGGTCCTACTTAAAAACTACTATTTTGGCAACCCTTCCATTTAGAGAGTTTTTTTGTTAAGACTGTGTGACAGAGAGTGGTTAAAACGAAGGAACAGCTGCACTTGTTAAGTTGTGTGCGTCATACACACATACAAAATCTGGGACACACTTCTGTGACTACAAGGCAGCATGATGATATTGACTGTAGTTATGTAGTTTTAGAGCTCCAAGAACCTGCGTGGCTTAAGGATTCATCAAGCGAAGATGACACAAGGGTAGTAACATGACTAATCCATCAAGCAAGGACAGACAGAGGAGAGTTGGCGATGTCGTGGCGCCACATCACAGAGGCTTGTTGCTACAGCCCTTGATCACCACCGCGTCAGATCACGGAAATGGCTCTGGACTGTTACAATAATTTCAGTCTGAGAGTCACATCTGGGACGGTCACTACAAAATGGAACAGACTAGAAAATGAAATAATCACTGGGTGTACTTTACCAGTGATTCTTTTGGCCTTGGCCAGGAACAGACTGGCCAAATCCACAGAGACAGAATACAGATGTCCATGAATGAATGGTCATTAACCATAACGTCTGTCTATTCATCAGCTGCATTACATTGCATAATGTTACCAAAGTGGCACCCCAATTACGTGCTGAGAAATCCATCTGTTGGCCATCGCCCACTGGAAAGAACAGGGACAACCAGAGAATCAAAGCTGTGGAGAAGCCAAACCCCCCACCAGGAGGCACCCACAAGACATTTAACAATGGCACCTGACTGGCAGCTGATGGCCGACACTGAGCCCGGACATAGTCCTCCTGTCAGGTGGTCATTTTAGATCCCTGTCTACTGGGAGGACTGGAGAGAGGTGATAACCGCTGGTGGAGAATAGCTGCAGACAGTGGGGGAAGATTTTTCTTCAAGATTTAAAAATCAAGTACAGGACTAGGATGGGTTCCACAATAGCATTATTTACAGCAGAGCAGTTGAAGGAAAAACAATGTGTGTGATAAGGGACTAAGCGGTGTATTGTGTCTATGCCAATACCAGTTTATGTGTGTGTGTGAGTGGTGTGGGTTGGCATAGATGTTTTTTTTTCTAGCTGGCTTTTCTCTCTCACTAAAAAGGGTGACTTAATAATTCTGAGGGCTTATTTTACAAAGAAGTATGAACATGTTTACCATTAACGCTGACCTAATCACTGGTTTGTATCAACCATAACTGTTTCCACTCCCTTCACAAATGAATAAGACTCAAACCATCAGGAGTCAGACAGACTGGTAACTAGGTCACTGCCTCAAAAAATGTTGTTCTCCTGCTGATAGCGGTGCACATCTCTGCTACCTATTACCCATCTGCCAGATATAGTTTTACCTGCTGGTTCACATTTATTCCAAACCTTTGCTGCTACATAGAGAGTCATATGCCAGTATTACTGAGTTCAGGTTGCATTGGTGGAACTTCACCACAGTTCTGTTGACAGATGGCGCTGCTTTTTTCTAGGTTGACGAGATTAGTATTACCAAGAATATACAATGACAAAAGACTAAATATTTAACATGCAAATTTAAAAACAAACAGAAGCGTAAATGTTTGTTGTTAGGCCCCTACAAGGACAGACTGAATGTGTTCAATTAGTTCAAGGTTACTTTCAATAACAACAACAACAACGATAATAATTTTTTTTTTTTTAAATCATCCGCCTTAAACTAGGTTTAAGGTTTAAACCTGTTTTACAGAGGCTGCCATCTTGGACTATATGTACTGCAGCCCACATGCATTCTGCACTGCTTGACTAATAAAGCTGCATATGTAAATTAGATTCTGAGTGATGATCCGTGTTGTTACTGGTTTTAGCCCTCAGTAGTCCTACTGTTTGACGCGACTAAACATATGAATAAAGTGTGGTGCAGTGAGTATATCAATAAAGTCCTGTAATGTGACTGTTTATAAAGAAACGTGTGGGTTTAAGAGATGTCCACGTTGACGCCAGACAAACAGATCACCACATGAATAAGAATCATTCATGTATCCAGAACAGACAGTCCAAGGTCACTAGAAAAAAACACATCATTGAGTCATACTAGACAAATTCGACCTGTTCGAGCTGGGGCTGAACTTTCAAATGGTAAAAAGCAACATAAGAATATGAGAACATTTGAAGAAGTCAGCAAGAAAAACAAACCTTTTACACTTGAGGATAAATATTTTTAAATTACTAACAGTTTAATTTAGTAATAAGTAATAACTCAAGCCAAAATAATGTGTCTTGGAAAAAGCACTTTGGAAATAATGATAAAAAGTAAATATTCTTAATTTGTACTCCAGGCCAGATGGTATTTATATAACAGAAGGTGATACCAAAATGTGGAGGCAGTGGAGCATGTGATATACAAAACTGAAACCAGAGTAGTGTAGTTTTAAATTCAGAGCCAGCCACAAATGATCCATCTTGGTTCACATCAATTTGTTCTTCGTTTGATGTGAGTTTAAAGCACTGAGTCTTTTTTCATCTCTGGGCCCACGTATTTGCTTGTTCCTTGTTTATGTCGTGGTCTGTGTAAGGCATTGCAAATAGCAGGTGCTTTAATCGGTGTAAGGCAGCTGTAGTAAAAGCAGTGATTGTCCCCTCATCTTCCCATCAGTAGTATTTCAGCTGATAATGGATAGAGGCAGAACAGAGTGGTGGTTGATGAGGGGTTAACCGTTACTCGGTGGTAGTGGGTGGTTGTAGCTGAGGATGGGGAGAGAGAAGCCCTGCTGCAATCACATCACTTTCCACAAAGGAAAACGGTCACCGCTGCACAGGGCGCTGCGAGAGTGAGCTCACACCGCCAGGACTGAGGTTCGGTTTACCGGAGGACGGAAACGGAATGTGACCCGGCTGGTGTCAGCGCAAGTCTCCACCACAACGCATACAGTCGCTGCTTCAGAATCATCTCGGTTTTTCTGATTTTTCACACACACAGAGGCGCCAACGGTGTGTGTTTTTGTACCTAATCTGCATTTGTAGTTTCGGTCATAACATGTTTTCAGTGAGCCTTCTTCACGCTTACGGACGGTGATGTAGTCAACTCCAGCCGTTTAACCGTGACCGTTAATAAAAGAAAATGACAGTCGTTTGTTGTCAGCGATGCTGTGATACCAAGTGTTTAAAGAAAATTGTTCAGTTTTAAACCGAGAGTCGAGAATGATGTCAAATGTGCGGTTAAATCTCGGGTGCGACCGTCAGGGCTACCGGGAGGATTTGGTCTCCATGTCTCAGCTGGGCTCCGCTTATTCAGCGGTTTCCACACATCGGCGGCTCTGCTACTGACAGCATAGCAGGTCGAAGAGGACAGGAGCGAGGCTTTGATTCCTTCGGCATACTTAAAAAAAATGTTTAATTTTAGATATTAATATTTCCTCTTAAGCACACAGACATAGTGTCGAGTGCAAGCATTTTACACTGAGGAAATTGGCCTTTAATGGTCGCATTTCGTCAGTAGGCAACGTTAGCACTTCATATCGGAGACTGGTTAATCTCTGGCACCTGTAAGGCCGGTGAAAGTAACACTGAGATTGTTCTCGCTGTATCACCTGGAAAAGACGTTAGCCACAACCGAGCTCTCCTCTTATTCTCCTCTACACAGGTGAAAACCAGGACACGCCATGGAAGATTCTGGAATCATCCGAAAGAGACAGCAAGTAAACACTCTTTTAAATAATTCATTCATTCATCCATTTGATATTTTCTTGATGTATATCTTCATAGTATTCTGTGAATCCAGATAAATATAGTTTTCATTGATCTAACTTGCAGTTCTATTTATCAAAGGACTTGGGTCACAAATGGACAACTTTCCGAAATTCTTAGGGTTGCCCACTGAAATAGTCCTGGTGTGTTGTATCCTCTGTCTTGTGTGGTATCACATCCTTGTTTTATTTACTGTAGCTTTCCTTTTCCACCTACTGTCTTTTTTAATAATTGTACATTCAAACAAACACCTATGGTGTTTTCTGGGTCATGTCTGTGACATATATACATGTATAGAACAAGAACAAAAAAAACAAAAGCTGTTTCTTAGGCTGCTCAGTTAGAGGTCACAGGACAGAAAGGCCCAGATGCTACAGGGTGGCCACCACTTTAGCTGTCATTGGAAATATACAGATCAGATTCCACTAAAGAAGCACTTAAAGCACACAAAGAACAGACTTATAAAAATAACATTCTGGCTGTTTGCTTTACATACCATACCTTTTAAATCACTTTTTTTCTGATGTCATGTCTTTGACATATAGCTTTTCCTTCTAAAAATGTTCTCTCTCTTAGGTTTTTGTGATACTGCTAGATTTGGGTAAATATGAGGCAAACTTTACCACCACTAATAATACTGAATTGAAGTGGATGCATTAACATACTGCTATATCAGACTATAGTTTATGTCTTTTAGGTGTTTTTGTGACATTTTATCTGGATGATTAATATGATAGAACCCAGGGAAGAGTTTATTGTTATGTAGGGTCGGTAGAGGTAGAATTGAAGTTTCTCTCTTCTGTGCACTCTTTTTTAAATGGAAAAAATTATGTTTATATTCAATTTAATTTCAAGTATGATTTCTGCTGAAGAAATCAAGTAATAAAAATTGAAATATTTCCTTCCTTAATTGAACTCCCCTGGCACTGACCTCTGCCTCTGGGTCTAGATCTGTCCAGACTAGTCTAGACAAGAGAAGAAGACTCAGACTCTTCTCTCTGTGTGTCTGTATCTCAGTGTTCATTTCTAACCCTTTTCCCCATGTATATATATGGTTTGTCAAATTGCCACTTTATTAACCCTTCATTAGCCTTTTTACAAATCGTACCACGCTCCATTTCTTCTCAGTCGTTTTACATCATTCCTGTGAATGAATGCTGCTCTTAAGTGGAGCCTGCTTGTTTGTTTGCCTTGCGTCGCTGAATCACCACTTTGAAATCTGAATCTAAAGTATTATTGTGCTGCTATTGATCAACATCAATGCCAACGTTGGTGTTCATCAATATCAATAGTTTGACTACCATTTCTGTTAATCTTTTGTATGCCAGCAGAGCATTTGGTTGGATATTTCCAGGAAATTGGATGACATGGAAAATTAAGTCATTATTAATTTATATATGCAATATATCTTATATGTTAATGCTGCTCATTGATTTCAGGGAAAGCATGCATTAGCCTGATACACCTGTTTAATGTTTAATTACATTAAATCACTAACTATCAAAGTAGAAAGAACAACACTGGCCTTGGAGGAAAATCTAATCTCCATCGTCAATAAACAAAAGTCAGAATTTTACTGTCAATAAACATTTTTGTTGCTGTTTAGTTGCCCCTGGGTCTTCATCAGCAGAATATTATAAATGTTTTGTACATTCCTTTTCAAGAAGAAAAATAAGTCAAAACCCATGAGAGGATGACTTGATGGACGCTGCGTCTCATTTATTTAGGGCCAGCCGTTCGGCTATCTGCACAAGATTGTAATCTTCTTGATCTGCACTAATCTCTGGGGAGTGAGTATGACTAAGGGGGTTTTTAAAAGTCAGTTTGCTTTCTGTTATTTCTACTAGAACAAAGTAGCAGATAACAGAGGACACTACATTGATGCATTTATCTTTGTAAAGGAAATATTGTGTGTAGGTGGCTTTATGTCTCTGTATGTTTTCTGCAACAGTCTGTTTTTCCGAATAGTTAAAATTAGCCTGCACTCTTTTTCTCTACACAGTTTATGTGGCATATTAAGTGTCAGCAAGTGAAATAGTATTTCTTATTAAATGCTTACATGGTTGGGTGTTACATCACAGCTCAAGCTGCATATTCCCCCTGAAGAGGAGAATTCAGAACAAGATAGAAGACAGTCATGGTTTGTAGTGCTTTGGAAACAAATGCAGCCCAAATCAACAGGAGAGAGAGAGCAGCAGAGTTCATGACCTTTGATAAAGGCTGACAGAGAACACTTTCGGTGCATCATGTTGCCATAGTGAAAGCCCAGGGTTAATGAGGAAGTTCCTTGTGGTTTAATCGACAGCATCATGTGGTGTGTGGTGTGATCAACATAATGGAGAACAGAGTACGAGAAGTGTCAAATGGTTTTAATGAAAGCGAATGTGTCTACGCCTGGATTTGGCCATAATCAGAAATTAAAATAGTCACTGGCAGATTGAGAGAAAAGATACAGCCTTTTGTCAAACAGGAAGTGATGGTTGGCTGTCACAGACAGATCAAGAGTCAGTGACAGTGTGGAGAATAGTAGCCTAATACTGACTACAGGTGAGACATCGAGGATTAACTTTTGGATGCACGTGACAGACACATGCACTTATAGCAAGATCAAACTGTTGGGTTGAGCTGCAAGGTAGTCTGATGTTGAGTGCATGTTAATGGGTTTGTGTTATTGTTCAGCCAATTGATTTGTGGTGAAAATGTGTGTGTGTGTGTTTGTGTATGTATAGTGTTTGGCACACGCAACATTCATGGCTAATACATGTACATATAAAATTGACTTCCACCACCTGCCCCTATTCTCCATTTCCTCCAAAGTGGTCGATATCCATATCTCACAGACAGAGTGGGTCTAAATGCAGAGGATGTGGCACCATGGTTAGACCCATTAACAGGACAAATGGTGGTCTAACAGCCCAGGGTGTCCTCAGGGACAAAGACTAACTGCCAGAAGGATGGCCTTAAAGGGCAAGGGAGTGGGAGCGGACTGGAGGCAGACAACAGCTGTTGGCTACAATAGACCCAATCTTAAGTAACTATTACCATATCTGGATTGCACTACTGCCCATATCTGCTTTCATGACACAGACACAGTTGGGTTGGAAAGGGAGTGTTAGAAATATATGCCTGTACATGGGTGACCCCATTTTAAGTAATTATTTACATATCTGGAGTAACATGCTCCCCAGTTATACATTCTCACAATGTAGACAATGTGTTCATGTCTATACTGTTGATCAGTGAAAATTGTTGGACGCTACGGACCTGTTTTGTTGAAAAAAACAAAACAAATGCTAACGCTGATGATTGGCTTGTACTCTGTCATGGTTTGCAGAGATAAAAAACCAGACAGTTGTTTTTGTTGTGATGATGGCTATAGATATGCAAGGCTCATTTGTTTGTGTATAGTGTAGAAGTACAGAGGTCCTTGACTTAGCTTGGAATTCCATTCCTACAGTGCATATAACCTCGATTTTCACTGTAAGTTGGACCTCACATACTGTACATAAACACTTTTGTCACTCACCTATGCTAACACAGTTGTATCATGATAATCTAGGACATAAAAACATCAGAAGAGTCTGACTTATGCATGGGAGCCATGAGGGGCAAAAAGCCTACCAAACAACAACACAAACTGAATGTTGCACAATCCAATATCATTTATAAATATAATGTATCATTTATGAAGATACTTTTCCACAACAATTGTAAACGGTAAGCTTTGTTATCATTTGTATGACTACAGTACGTGTCCTTGTATTCCTCTCATCCATTGTATGATCTGTTCACGTGTTCACATGTTGGCGGTTGACATATTTTCTGGTACAACCTATAATTGGAATTTTAATTAGTTAACTGAACTAAATTTTAACCTAGAGGCTTAGTTTTAATGAAGATAAACCACAGTTATTGCATTCATATCAGCATATAGTCTAATAGGTGAACTGGCCCACTCAAAGATTTCTATACATTTTTTGAAAATTATTCTTTTTGCGGTTAAAACAAAATTATTAATTCAAACATTTGTGTCATTTGCATCTAATGTCATACACAATGACAAGACGTAGCATAGCAACAGGATACAATGTAGAAGTATTAAATCAGCAAGGAAAATAAAGATTTAAAAACAAAATTCAGTTGTAACTGTACAAGTACAAGTATTTTCATTTTGTGACGCTTCTATTAGTTGGGTTTCAATTTTCCAATCAGGTAAATGAGCTAGTTTTATTTTCATCTTATTCTTAATCTAACACTATTTTAAACGAAAATAAACACATATTTCTGTATAAATCCAAACTTGTTCAAACTGTCGCTGTCCTCACATTATGAATGAGACCTTTATTTTAAAAGCTTAATCAGGAGTGAAAAAACGATGAGAAAGCAGAGCATGGTTAGTAAGGATTATATATATTAGCCACTTGATTTAAATTGTTTTGTTGTGGATGAGTGTATGAATGTTACATTGTATTTTAGTGTTTTGATTGGCTGTAACCATAGCCAGATTGCTCTCAAGAGACCTTTAATCTGCTTGTTCACTTCCTAGTTTTTAAAGGTACATAAATATCTGTAGCCTGCTTGTGTTTCAGCTACAAAAAAAACAAAAGGTTGTTAACCTGAGCTAATTTGATTCACAGCTGTGTGTTATTAAGCTTCCATAGAGAAAAATAAACCATTCTGATGAGTTGCTGGCCCATAGAAAATAACTTAATAGGTCACACATGGAAAGCTGACTCCAGAATCTGACAGTGATCTCACACAGTTGAAATGTTAAATTGAATAAAATTGAAATAAATGTGCAACAAACACCCTACCGATCTACTACGGTTATTACATCAGAGGCCTGTGATTGTGTCGGTGCAGCTGTTCTCCTAAATTGATGTTGTTGTTATCTAAAACTCACGAGTGTTTGGGGAATTTATGTATCAACTTACAGAATACAGAATACGTTCTTCTTTTTCATTAATGGTTAGTCTTACAACCAAAGTTAATGTTTCCATTTTTAGACTTTTGTTCTGCTTTTTTACCGTGGTGCATGCCAGTATGAAATGCTACTACTATTGTTTATAAACTAACAAACAGAATAGTCTGACCCAGTAATGGCAATGTTGAATAAATAGTATAATGATAATTAGCATAAAAGTAATTTTCAATAGCATCAGCCTCAATAATTAGTCTTGGAAGGCAAGTTGTTTTTTTTTTACACTTAAGGCATTCTAGAAATATATTTTTTCTTGTTGTTCCATAGAAAACCATAAATAGTATTTAGGTAAGTATGAAATAATCAACCCTGTCCATGAACTTCTTACCACAAAGTTTTCACAGTTGTTCCTGCAAGATGCCTTAGTATTCATCCACGGACTTTGGTTTCTTTGTGATTTGGCCTGTCTACCTTGTGTGTGTTCTTTTTCGTCTCCTCTCCTAGTAACTACCTCTGTCTTTAGTTTTATGAACACAATGCCCAAATCTTTCTTGGACTTTGTTTGGACAATGGCTTCTTCACTGCACTTTCTTGATGAATTTTTTATTCTTGGTATTTTGCACACCTGCTGTGGTTGACAATCTTCATTAAGTTGCTATATCCATGATATTATTTGTTGTTTGTGTAGGATTTTTCATTTGTTGACCTTAAAATAACATTAATTAAAATACCACTATAGCTTGTCCTTTTGAATGGCACGAGGTACCTTTCTCTCTCTATTTTTTTTAAGCAATTTCAACATTTCTATTGAAGTGTTCAAAGTCTTGACACTGTCATTAACATAACTTAATGATGACGTTAAGATTTAATAGTATATTTCTCATCTAAAAATAAGGCTTTTTAGAGTGGTTTTTAAGATGTGGGTTAAAATGAAATGATATATCTGTGAGCTCAGTGCAGGCAGCACCACACAGAGCCAATGTGTCTGTCATATTAGATTTATCAGGCCTTTATATATTCAGGGAAAGTTACTGCCAAAAATCACTTAAAAAGAACTTTTATGGACCTAATGTATCCCAGATTCGTGTGCTGTAATAAAAGGAGTCTTTCAAGATTTAGATCCAAACTAATTCATACAGACATAAATTGTTTTTTATTATTTTTAAAGTAGCCACCGTAAGGGCAATAACTACTCAAAAACATTCACATTCACAAATTTAACTCCACAGTAGGACACAATTTAAAGTTACAGAAGAAAAACATAACAGCATTATTTTGTGAACAGTTGTGTAAACACTCAATCTAGAAAACAGTACAATATGAAAATCTGCTTTTCTTTTTAATACTTTTTTGTCTCTTTTTCTCAATAGAAAGATCTTCCGTTGCCTCGAAAAAGTAGCAGGTAAGTCCCCAAATAACTTAAATTATTAGATTTGTTGATTTGTTCTAAATATAAAATTGAAGTTTAATGTATTTGGGTCTTGTGATAGTTAAATAATAGTATTGGATCTAATAAATTAGCCCATAATATGATTAATCTTTGTTTTTGTTATATTGTAATTAATGCAAATACATCCATCATTGTACAGTACCCTGCTTGGTTATGCCTGGTAGCATCCTCTAATGCAACAATTAAACATTAAGGTTTTTATTATAGAACAAAAGCCTTCTTCCTTCTACATAAAACTAGCAATGTGCTGTTTGACTATTAATTTATAAATCTGACTCTACTTTCCTGCCCGTAGTTAATTCATATCATTGCATGTTGTCCACTCTATTCTGAAATGATCACATTCAGAGAGCAACATCAATAGTGTTTGGCAAAAACTAAGTAATTATGCTGCACTGCATACATGTCAGTGGTATTCTATGTCCATGTGTGTCTTTGTCTGTGGTCTGATATTTAGTATGCATACGTGTCCCTGACTGGTGTCACGGATTGTGTTTTGCCCGTGAACTTTGACTTCTGTGGTGACAGACGTCAAGGCACAACGTTAAAAAAAAAGCTTGACGGTTTACAGCCAACATGTGCTGTTGCAGTACAACTGACTGTACAACTGCCCCGCAACCCAGTGTTTTGACCTTGGAATACTTTATAGAATTTGCCAGTTGAGTCCAAATTTTAAATCCTAATAGTACTTGTTCATTTGATAATTCTGTGTGAGGCCAAGGGTCACAGCTCAGTGATATACTAGCTTAAGTCGTTCAATAGAGAACTTAACTTGTTGTCACACACAACCCTGTTGTTTCACCATATGAACGGAATTCCAACGTAAAGCGAACCCTCCCCCCACCGTGTTTAAAGTGTATCTATATACATACATACACAAATATCAAAACTCAGAATCATGCTTGCCATTAAAAAATCTTTTAATAAGTGTTTCTGTATGCAGAGTGAGACGTATGGTACCACAGTGAAGTTAGTCTACTCTCTAATTTTCATCTCATTTTGTCTTCTATATTGAACACGGACGTGTATGATATCATGCTCCACCTTCCCATGGCCCCCTGCTAAGAGGCAATGATCTCACCACTCTCTCCGTCCTTCTGCAGCCCCAACCCCCCATTTCCTTTTCTCTGTCCCACTGTATGTAGACGTTTGCCAAACAGAGTTGTACATTAGAGGCAGCATCTATTATTAAATTACTTCCCTTAGCACCACGGTGCAACTGTCACACCATGTCAGTGTTTAGTGGGTTGCTTCTAATGGAAAGTAGAAAGGGGTATATACATTTGTATGTACACACTTTGACTTTTGCCCCCCACTGCCCCTTCAAAACCTGATTTTAGACACCTTAAAAAGGGGCCCCAATTTTTTTGTCTAAAATATCTCTATTTCTCTTCTGATTGTTATCTTTTTTTGTTTACTTCTAAGCTTCTTTTTATTCGTTAGCTCCCACGTACCCATTATCCTCTTTTCTACTGTCACGCTGCACTTTTTGGCTTTGAACAGTACCCATGAGAACGGTTTTGCAATCCTCTACTTCTGAGAGGAATGCTCGTCAGCCGTTTTTCTCTCTTCTTCTTCTTTTTTTCCCCACTAGAGGCTACTGCTTTTTGGCCCCTCTCCTCCTTCGTGCGCCTCTGAGTGTACGCTCACGTGTACAGGGTCACAGACAGACATCCCACAGTGGATGTGCATTTGTGTTTATCTAGCCAGAGGAGGCTGACAGTGTAAACTGCTGCCTCTGGACTGTCTCTGTTTCTGTTTATCTCAGCTTATCTGTGAGAAGACTCAGCCGCTCTGATGTTCACTTGCCAGCATCACCACATGTTTCGGTGCACTAGAAGGTAAAAGGCAACAGACTGTCTAGGTGCACAGTTTGTGATCAGTTTAGAGCTCATGGGTGTTTTTTTCATCCTTGTCCTTTCCTCACTGTCACACTGTCAGAGATGTCTCCTCATCTCAGTCTAGCTTGGGCAATATGTGTATGTATGTGTGTTTGTGTGTAACGTGAGATTGTCATACGCTTCATTGATATGCAAACACTGTATTATACAGGGTACACACCCACACAGAGGTTTAGTCTTCAGATACCTCTACATGTGTGAAAGCTCTTGGTTAGTAACCTGTGTGTTGGTGATAGTGTCATAATAACATTGCTGTCCAGGGGACTTTGTGTAGAAAAGACCAAAGAGTGGGCAGTGGTAAAGAGGTGTCTGCTTGGTACAGTAAAAGAGCTGGTTCTTCATGGTCATCTCTTTATTACTTACTTCTCTTTTTCTGCTTTCACTTGACTTGCCCATGTTACAATGCTGTTTTTTTTCTTTCTATATTTGACTCCTCTACACTTCCTATGCTCACAGATATTGGTACCTTTGTGCATCTATATTGCACTGATTTTTTTTTTCACATTTTAATCAGATGTACATAACAATACGCATGTGTGTTCAGTTGGCTGACAACATGATGATACTGTTTTTTGCCAACATTTAATGATTGAGTTGTAGGAAAAACATGTATGAAAGAAAATTGGCCAGACAAAAACATCCTTCAAGAAAGTCAGATAGGCTCTAAGGCAAAGAAGGTGCATCAGTCTGCAGGGATGAACAGGCCCAAAACAATACAGCGTAGGGAAATCTGTGTCTGCTTCCTGAACTTGTTTTTCCCCCACAGGTGAACTGCAGTGTATTTAGAATTTAGTAGATAATTAAAGACAAACAGAGAAAGGGCTACAGTTTCCTGTAAGCCTGTTTGTGTTTTTTTTTCTTGGTCTTGGTTGGAGACACACCCGGGGATATTGTGTGTATGATTAAGTACAGAACACAAATTAACAAATGAAGATTGTTTCAATCAGACACAGTAAACTGAGCTGATAAGTGGTATTGTTCTAAAAAATGATGCATGAACATGAGTTCTTTTATTTTCTTTGTGTGGTTTTAGTTTATTAATGAACTCGAAGGCCTGCGAAAAGGAAGTGATGTTTTTCTTTGTGTTTTATTGGTGCAAACCTTTGCAAGTGGAAGTTGTTTTGTAAATGAGGAGCTAGAGAGCAAATAATAGCAGAGAAAATGACAGCTTCTACCCGTGCCCTTCTCCTGTTGTTTTTAGCATGACAGTACCATCTGTTACTGGCTGCTGTACAGATTAGTCCACGACACACAGACTGTTTGTTAATTCTGTTTAATATAACGAACAACACTTATAGCAAATACAACTGGTGTGATAGAAATGGAGTTTGGCCTAGTGATGAATACATGAAGAGCTCAGGGAAATGAAGGCATTCTTTCTTTGATGCATTTATTGAACCACAGTCCCAGGTTTTACCTATGCAACACTGTTAGAGTGTCTCCGTGGTAATATCTGTTGGATAATCCTGTCATTTCAATGCCTATATCATTTTAAACGCATTTCATTGTTGTTTTTTTCCCAAATAAGCTTTCACCAAATAATTCATAAATATATAATAAATAAAGATAGACAGAACGTGGTGTTCTTCTTCTCCCTTGCCTGGCAGCACTATCTTCCCACAACTTAACCATTGTTAACAATGAACACATGACACTGGAGCCAGTTGACTGTTGGCTAAATTTGTGTTTGGGAAAAAGATTAAATTTCCAGGATAGACAATAGTGCTTTTAGCCTTGATGTTTGTGCCTCCTTCGTTCTGATTTACAATTTTTTATTCCCTTTAGCATTTCAAGTCTTTTGAGATGAAAATCACATCACAAATGGATATTTTGTTTAACTTTCTGCACTGTGATGTTTTCTGTTTTATTTCTTGTGTTGTTTTATCCCTTCTTCTTAGGTCAGTTTTTCATGTTTCCCCATCACACCTAGCCACTTTTAGGAGGAATAACAGCAAACACTTCTATTTATGTGCTGTTATTATTCACTGCATGGCAACAGGAAAGATATGTGACAAACCCCTGCAGAGATCCTTAACACCAAGACGTCTGCATACTCTCATCCTATCTTCCAGTCATTTCCCCTTATGCTTTTATCCTTTATAATGACTGCTCTGGTCCGTTCTTGATACCTGCTAAGAATGAAGATACATTCGTTTCAAAGTTTCCTCAATGTTAATACACCAAAAATAGAAAAGATAATGACTGTTCACAACTCCCAAATCAGAGTCTGAGTCAAATCTGAAGTCCTTTGAGCACGAGTCCAAGTCAAGTCTCTGGGCGTATGGCTTAGGTGCTACTTAAGTCCGAGACGCAAACTTGAGTCCCCATCGCTGCAGTTTACCTGTTAGCATAAGTAAATTTATCCTTGGCCCTGGTGATTTTATTTTTGTATTTTTTTACATTGTTAGTTATCCTTAAATCCTTAATCCTTAAATTACTTAAGATTCCCGATTCTGATTTTAGAACACAATGAGACAACAGTGCAGTAAAGCAAGTAAAACACACTGGATACTTTGAATGTTTAAAGAAGTGTGAGGTTTAAATCTGTTAAATAGTGAAATAGTGATAAGGAGATGTTCAAAAAAAAAAGAAAAAAAAGGAAAAGTAACAGGATTGATGTAGATTATATTTAATAACGTAAGTAAACTCTGCAACATTAGAACTTGAGCAATGGCCATTTTACGGTACATCATTGAGCCAAGCAGCTGTAGATGTGATGAATTCTACAGCAAAAGCTAATAACATGCTGATAAGGACGTATGACTTGCATGTTCTCAAATTGTTCGTAATGGAATAAGCAACGATCGGAATTTGAATTTGCACAGCCATAAATGGGTTAGAGATGAGAGCCATTTCTACTCAGTTCACGGTCTTGAAGAATTTAAAGGATACTGTCCATAGCTAATGCATTTCCTTTAAATATTTTAATAAGCTCCTCCTTATTCTGCATGGTTGAGTTCAGTCTTTTTCTCGGCTGGCGCCCACAAAGACAAATTGCCAATAATGCCATGTACTCAGGGGTTTGATTTTCAATGTTAGAAAGAAGTACGTACAAAAACTACAGTGAGATTTTGCATTTGAACGCTTTGTTTGGACGTGTGAATATATTTCTTTACATATCAAACGCTGATGTAAGAGCAATCGTGAGGTCAGATGTCGTGTCTTCACTGCAAAACCTGTTTTGAAAAATGGAACGTGGTCAAATGAACACATAGTCACAGAGATTGAGAGAAAGGGAGTGGAGGAGGGGCACTCCTAATCCAGATATCCCAATCCACATATAAAAGAACACCTGAGAGAGCTTACATGGAACTACAGCATTTATTGTTCAGTATATTCATGCTTTTATTAGGCTCTCTGAACATAGAGGAAATCTCCACCAGTCTCTACTTGCTTAGTCCTTTTCTTCTGTGACTGAAAGGGTATTCTATCATGGCCATATTTATGCCTAACGTTAACAGAATTATACTTACAGTCACATACTTTTATTTGTTTGAGATGGTAGGTAAAATAGTTTGTAGTACATAGGTGTTTAATGTGTGTTTAATGTGTTGTACAGTTGAATAATAACAGTTTTTATTTTCTGTTTTGTAGTTGCAGAACCAGTAACCGAAAAAGCCTAATCCTGACGAGCACTTCTCCCACTCTGCCACGGCCACACTCACCACTACCTGGACACATAGGTCAGTATGTGCCAAGTAACGCAGAATAATCCCTTTTTTGTTGACATTAATCTGTAGTTGCTCTAACAGAATTCTATTGCAATAAGAAATTGTTAATGCTGGCGTTAATTTAAGAACAGACGAGCTGCACAGAAGATTGCAGTGTTGCGTTAGTGTCCAACATAGATGTATCTTTTTCATTGCAATTGTCTGTTATTGTTTTCTATTTCCATTTGTCAACAGGGAGCAGCCCTTTGGACAGCCCACGCAACTTCTCCCAAAGTGGATCTGCCCACTTTTCCTTTGCATCTTCTAGAAGGTTGGCGCACTTACTATTTCCCTCATGACATGTGTGTTTACCACACTTAATCTCTGATTAGGCTATAGCACAAAAATTGCAGAGAGAAACTACCGCAAGTCTTTAAAAGTATTCATTTGGACTGCTGGAATAAAAAGCTGAGAGGTGTTTTGTCTTTCAGGAGACAGGTGTTTATTTTTCTCCTGCTCACAGACACAGACTTTTGAAGTGCTTAAAGTCAAACAAAGGCAAAGACCATTCGTGATGTACACAAGCAAAAGCTAAATTAAACATTGTGTACGTGTTCCACATGGGCCATTAGTAAATCACTAGTAACACAAGCCAAACAAGCAGCAAGTGGATGGCAGCAAGTCCCCTGTATCTTTAACAGACCCAGCATTAGCTCCCTGCTGCAGATGTGATGTGTCAGGGAGGAGAGAACATCAAGGAACAGACAGGAAGCATAGGAGACAAACAACAGGTTAGGTACGAACCTCTGACTCTGCAGAGAGAAAGTGAGAGTTGACTGTGGCTGTCAGTGACACACTCTTAGCTGTGTGACATCACTTATCATAAAGGCTGACAGATGGAAGTAGAGAATAACAGATCAGTTATTAGAAAGAATATTGGCTAGTCAGGTGAGTTCTAGAGAGAGCTAACTACAGGAGTTCCTCAAGTACGCTGTGATGTAACTTCATTTTCACCTTAAGTCGGACTCATGTACCGTACACTATCTATGTCACTTATCTATACTACTTTTACAAATGTTGACCTTGTGTCTCACTCTCTCTCTTTCTTCCAGGCCTGATGGTCGCAGATGGTCCTTGGCTTCGTTGCCCTCATCAGGATATGGCACCAACACACCAAGCTCAACTGTAAGTAGATTTTTGGGTTTTTTTTATAATCAAGAACAACAAATTTGAGAAATGTCACAAATTATAATGACTGTCAACATTTATTGAAGTCATGTTTGAAGGAACTTTACAAAAACATAAGCAGAGTTTCTTCTTGAGTTTTATCTGGCTGTTATATTATGTATATTATTTATCTACAACCTCTCGTTCTGCAACATTATTTGATCTAATGTGTTTTAGCCTATACATCATGCAGTATTTCTCAACTCCTTTCCCTCTCATCTCATTCCTGTCATTTCTCTTACTGTCTTTTCAGCGGGGACAGATGTTTAAAACTTGAATCAACAAAGAGAATTTCACTTTTGAACCTTGTGTTTTTATAATGTATCTCTTTAGTCATCAAGCTCATCCCAGGAGCGTCTGCACCAGCTTCCTTTTCAACCAACCATGGATGAGTTGCACTTCTTGTCAAAACACTTTGGCAGTACAGAGAGCATGACAGATGATGACGGGGGCCGTCGCTCGCCGCATGTCAGACCGCGCTCTCGAAGTCTCAGGTCAGGGCACATTAAGTGAACATTGCATGTGTTTCCCAGTTTAGTTACCTTTAGCGAGTGTTTTGGAATAGGTTTGATTCTTTCTTTGGCCTTCTAGAATAATATATTCTAATATTCATTTCTTACAACCTACTTCATACTTTACTTACTTACATTTGGGTTAGGGGCAAGACTATACCCACTATTGCCCTCTGCCTGCCTCAGTAATAACTGAAAGTGCTAGCTCATGTAAATGTAGCCCTAAGCACAATCCCTACTGGAAGTATTGATAAGCTTTTGTACACAACACAGGGTCCCAGAAATGCTGGGCTACAAAATAATATCTGAGCTCTAACAGAGTGCAACTTCCTGCACTGAGGAGAAGGTCATAGAACAAGGTCAAGGGAACACAGTGAGAAGTCTGTCAGTGTTTAAATTTATGGAAAAGGAGCTCACTTAAAAAATGTAACAAACTGTTTGTCCCCGATGCACTTGAGACCGTCAAATAAACACTCTTAGCTCTGGCTGTTTCACTGAGGAAATCCCCAGGAGGATGAGAAGTCTTTACTAAGTAAATCCAAAGTGTATTTTAATTGACCAGACAACATGGGAATGGACCGAGGGCAGAGACAGATAGATACTTAAGAGAATATGAAAAGTGGAATCATCCATAACACCGGTGCTTTTTGGCATCGGCCCTAAGAGCAGTTTTAGCAGTCTTCCAGAACAAGAAACCTTAAAAGTCATTACTGACAGCCCTCCATTACCGTTGGACCTGATGACGTTGTACCATTAAACATCAGGCCAGTAACCTGCCTAGGAACAAGCAATCTCCTGTCAGGTATAGAAGAAAAGTCATTGTGCCACAGCACACCACTGCACACAACCAAATGTGACCTGCTTTTAACCCATCACCAAAGTGAACAGTGGGCAACCTTCTGGACCCAAGTCCACCCAAGTCGGGGCTGTAGCTGAAGCACTTTATGGCACCTGAGGATCTAGGCCATTTTTGGGAGTAAAAGATGTGTATTAAACATGTATTAACATATAAATTGTGTTCATTCATTTGTGAAGTTAATCAAATGAAAATGTTTAGCGTACTTCAGCACATAGTCCGAACGGCATGTACTACTCTGAAACTTATTATCACCCTCTGTGTTTGGAGTTTGAAGGAAACTGCCCAACATTACTCACTGTTTAAGTTTCTTTTTATATTGATTTACTTATGGGTTCTCTTTGTGGTATATTTAATACTCTCACTCTGTGTGTCTCCTGTCAGTCCGGGGCGCTCTCCATCCTGCTACGACAATGAGATAATGATGATGAACCATGTCTACAAGGAGCGCTTTCCCAAGGTCCCCTCATACAAACAAATAGACAAGTGAAAACTGTGCATCAGACACACATTCGGCGTAACAGAAACAGTGTATTTGCAGAAAGTAAAAACCTGTCTTTCTTACTGAACTACCAAGACAGTTCCCTCAGTCAGTGACTTGTTAAAGCAGCGCAAATGAGAGCAAATCCGACAACACTGCTGCAATGACTGTCTTGTTCTTTGTGAACTCTCTTCAAAATAGTCAGCCTTCACAAATGTCAGGTTTCATTGACTGTGTGAGGCGGAGATTCACAGTAAATCGCGCCTCACGCATAGAAAGAATTTTACGTAGGAGGAGACGTACTGCAAGTACATGTGTGACCAAGTGTACCATGCTTCAGCCCACTTCTTCCAACCGCCAAAGCAGGGAAGTGTCATGGCCAGGCACGGTACACTCACACTCACACTACACACTACACACTATACATGTCAAAGCATTTTTGGATTTTCATTTTTAGAATGACTTTTTGTGTTATATTAAAATGTACATGCAATCCAATCAAAACTAAAAATTAATATTTTTTAACAGCAAAAGCTCTTCTACCATGTTAAGTCTTTCCATTTAGCTGGGAACATTTTTTGATCATAAAAGTCTGATTGTTTACTCTGTACCAGTGTAACAATGTGACAGTAATTGACTATTAGAAACTGTCCTGTCCCTAATCAGGCCACAGCTCAGATGGAGGAGAGGCTGGCAGAGTTTATCCACAGTTACTCACCGGAGAGTGTTCTACCATTGGCTGATGGAGTACTCAGCTTTATCCACCACCAAATCGCTGAGCTGTCCAGAGACTGCCTGACCAAATCACATGAGGGCCTCATTACTAGCGTGTACTTCTGTGAACTGCAGGAGAACCTGGAGAAGCTGCTGCACGATGTGAGTCGTGGAGCTGAATGAGGAGTGTCGGCTGAAGTTCATCACTTCAAGTTCTAACACAACATATGTTGCATCCTCCTTGTCTTTGTAAGGCCTACGATCGCTCGGAGAGTTCAGAGGTCACTTTCGTCATCGAGCTGGTTAAAAAGCTTCTCATCATCATATCCCGTCCTGCCAGACTTCTTGAATGTTTGGTGAGTCCAAAAGGCCATTTTATATGGTATTCTTTATTTCCTTCAGCTTCAGCAGTCTAAATCCAGGTTCCCTGTCTGCTTAAGTTTATGTTAAGTTCCTGTTATAGACAAAAAGCTATTGTCTCATAAATAACGGGCAAAGGTGGAAAATATAGAAAACAAATATTAATTATATGAAATAACTCCAAAAACAAAACTATTAAGAGTAGTGCCTCTGGCTATATATACAGTATATATATCTTTTCATCGTATGATTCCAACTCCCTCATCTCTACCTAACATTTAAGGAAGTCCTACAGAGCAGGAGACAAATGGATCCACTTAAGAATCCTACATTAAACATTTCAGCTTTAATTAATACTTTTCTTTATGCTAATGTGTTCCTGCCCTATTCTCTGAATTAATCTGAAGGTGATAAGTCATTAATTAGCAGCAATAAATTCTGCTGTGCTCTATAGACTACGTCGTTCTCTTTTTGCATCAGCGCCTGTTGCAGAACCACTCACACTATTCTGTATGTGCAGTTAAAGAAGTATTTATGTTGTCTTTGCTTTCCTTGGCACGTAGCTATGTTTTCTATTCCCATAACAGGAGTTCAACCCAGAGGAGTTTTACCATTTGCTGGAGGCAGCGGAGGATCACGCCAAGGAGGGACAGCTGATGAAAGAGGACATCCCTCGGTACATCATCAACCAACTGGGGCTGACTAGAGATCCTCTGGAGGGTAAGACAGAAGTCATGTCAGTCAGTTTCATGTGATGAGCATAATAGCATTAAATATCAACGTCAAACTGGTTTCTGGCTACCTCACACACGTTTTTGGCTAATGTCAAACCATAGGTAATGTAAAACTAGTTTTTAGCCAACTTTACACTGGTTTTGGCTAACTTGAGCGTTTTGGCTAATTTCACCCTGGTTTTTGGCTAACTGCACTGCGGTTGCTAGCTAGATTCACACTGGTTACGGCTTTGTTTCAACAATTAATACTTATTGTAATACTTACTATTGTGATGTGCAGTATATATATTTTAATTATTTAATGCCTAATATTTCAATTCATGTGAATGTGTAACCAACAATATTTGTGTATGCACATATTGTTGATGATTCATGTGTATATTTTGTTATTGTATTCCTGTGTATATTTTGTCATTTTTATTTCTTGATTTCCTTGGCAGTCAGTGTGGACAGCAAAGTAAAATTTTCATTGTACAGGGAAACCTGCTTTCCTTACTGTACACATGACAATAAACGCTTTGAATCTTTGAATCTTGAATATGTGTATACTGTTCATTTTTTAATAAAAAGATTACACAATTATCCTTGAGTTTCAATAACATGTGCTGCCATTTAAGAAAAAGGGACTAGATAGAGAGAACCAAACACATTATCTTTTATTTATCTCATTTCTTTTGGTTTGTCTTTTATGTTATGCAACAGAGATCGTGAGTCTTGACAGCTATGACAGTGAGGGTCCACACACCCCGGAGACTGATGACTCAGTTGAGGTAAGAACGACAAACGACCTTTAAATATATGTACGCTTGCACAAAATATATAAATTCACACAATAGTTCTAAGAAATATTTAAAATGATTTTTGTTGACAATTATATCGATTTAAACATGACATATTTCACCAGGGGAAGGGCAGAGCCAGTAAGACACCAAGTGAAGATGATTTTCAAAACGTTAAATTGATCAGCAATGGAGCTTATGGGTAAGCAACAGAGTGAATATTCACTAAAAAACACAAATGTACCAAAACACATCACACTACTTTGCTGCCATAGAGCAAGTGCCTATCAGGTGCTAATGTTGTCCCTTCTCTGTTGTGTGCTGTGTGTCTCTGGTTGACCTTGTTTCAGTGCTGTCTACCTGGTGCGGCACAGGGAGACGCGCCAACGTTTTGCCTTGAAAAAAATCAACAAGCAGAATCTGTTACTGAGGAACCAGATACAGCAGGCATTTGTGGAACGAGACATCCTCACGTTTGCCGAAAACCCCTTCGTTGTGTCTATGTTTTGTTCTTTTGAAACGCGACGGCACCTCTGCATGGTCATGGAATATGTTGAGGGTAAGAACTAAGATTTACAGCAAAAATGTATTAATGAATGAAGCCCTACTCTACTCTACTCTCTACTCTTAATGTGTTATAGGTTAGCAAAGGGTTAATGGTTTAAATTACTGACTTTATCAGTGATTTTTGCGTCAGGTTTGTATTGTTCAGCTGGTCGTGGCTCTATCTTGAGTTTATGAATCATCTTGACCAGGTTCATCACTGGTTTCAGTTTGTTTTGGTACAGAATTCTTATTTTGAGTAACATCAATGATGCTGCATTTAACAAATGCAAGGAGTAAGTCTTGTGCTTGGATATTTTTTTTGATGTGGATTGAACTGTTTGTTACATGTAATATCACAACTTTGATTATTTGTTGACCAACAATCTCAGCCATGTCTCCTAACACCAGCAGTACTTCTCCATTTATTTACTGTTCTCATTAACGTTTCTATGTTTGCAGGGGGTGACTGTGCCACTTTGTTGAAGAATATCGGCGCCCTGCCCGTGGAGCTGGCTAAGATGTACTTTGCTGAGACTGTATTGGCTCTTGAATATTTGCACAACTATGGTATTGTCCATAGAGATCTCAAACCTGACAAGTGAGTTTTTCAACACAGAATGAATCACTGTTTCTGCATTGTCTGCAGATGTCTTTATGTAGTGAAGCAAACGGTAATTTCAGAGCCAGGTATTTGCCCCCAGAAGTCAGTTGAGACTAATAATAGCTACTTTTTCCAAAATTTGAATATTAATTAGGCTGTCAAAATATTACCTTTTGGAATCGTTTGCTAATCCGACTCACATTAGTACAGGTGTGCTGCCTGGACATGGAAATGTACTTTTAACAGGTTGGAATGGAGCAACACCAATGATGATATTGGTATTAGGCCCAATACATATTTCAAATACTTGTGCTCAGAACATGCATCACTCCAGCAGCCTGGTACTCAGTTTAGTCTTTTTAACCAGCTACACACCTGTCAACAAGTGTCATATCAGCAGTCTGAAGGAATTTTGAAATCACACAGAAAGGCTAACTGTAAGATTTGTTCTGTCACGATATAAGTCATTATCGCCAAATTATGCCATAGTAAAGTTAACGTCTTATTGCTGAAGACTCTAGTCTCAGCTCAAGTAGCTCTTTTTAAATAATGAAAATGCTCTGCTTCCTTTTTCTGTCCAGTCTCCTGATCACCTCGATGGGTCACATCAAGCTCACAGATTTTGGCTTATCAAAGATGGGTCTAATGAGCCTTACTACAAACCTTTATGAGGGACACATTGAAAAGGATGCCAGGGAGTTCCTGGACAAGCAGGTAATAGTCATAGTAACATAGTACTTCTGTGTATTGGAGGTTACTGGCAAGAAATTCCTGTCTGTATTTTTATATATATTATATCTAGTGTGAAGAAATCAAACTCCTAATAATATCCTGCAAGGTTCAGGTCCAATCACATAATTGGTTTCCCAGACATAAATGACTATGGGAAAGATCAATATATTTGTTTTTATTATGACATTCTATGATTGGCTGCTGTTTCCATTGTGTTTTATTCTTTTCCAGTAAAGTGTGCCAGTTTGCTGAGTCATCCTGAAAAATCAATGCCGTCTATTTGGAGATACTGTGTAGCAAAGCCTTTTGTGCTGTCATCTATCTTCAAAGTCTTACTACCATAGTTTTTTTATTTAGCTATGAATCATTGCAGTTATAGTCAAAGAACGTTTCCCACATCTTCTGCCGCAGACATTTCTTTTGAAGAGAGTGTACGTCCAACACTGAAACAGACAAGGGATTGCTTTTCTTTTTTCAAGTGGGAATCACATGTATTTACATAAGTCTTCGCTCAAGGAAGTAGTTGAACAGAAGTCTAGACAAAAACAACCGTCTGAAAAAATATAATGGAGCGAACCAAGCTACTTTTTAAAATCCATCGTTTTTTTATTTTATTTTCTCCACAGGTATGTGGTACACCAGAATACATCGCTCCAGAGGTCATTTTGCGTCAGGGATATGGCAGACCAGTGGATTGGTGGGCCATGGGTATCATTTTGTACGAGTTCCTGCTAGGATGTGTACCTTTCTTTGGAGATACACCTGAGGAGCTCTTTGGACAGGTCATAACGGGTAGGAAAACTCGTAGCTTGTAATATTCACTGATACATACATTCGGAGATACAAATACTTCTATGTTTTTTTTTTTGTAGACTTCATTGTTTGGCCAGACGGGGACGACGCCTTGCCAGCAGATGCCCAGGCTTTAATATCTGCTTTGCTGCGGACAAACCCTCTTGTGAGATTGGGCACAGGTACTGAGGTCTGCATTTACTGCAGCTGATTGACAGCTTGACTAAGAATAAAAATGCCTTTATAATTACTATTTTATAGAGGGACGAATGGGTGGGTGGGTTTCTGTATGTAGGCGTCTTGTACTGTTTCCCATTTGTTAAAACACAAGAAGGGAAAATTTAAATTGGCTGTAAAAATGATTAAAATTATTGGACAGAAAACAGACTTATAGCACAGATCAGTGGACAATGTTTATGTCGTTTTATTTTACATGGTAACCCTTGAGGCCCTGCCACTCCTGCATCCCAGATAGACCCTCATCCTATTCTGTTAGCATGCTGCAAAGTCTCCAACAGCAGTGAACCAGACAGAGACAAATTACATTTCCAACTATGCTTCTAGTATGCTGTGCTTAATCTTCTTTTTTTAACAAAGCATGTCACTTTCATTTAGACATCCACAAACCTTTTTAATTTTCATAAAATTAGCACAATGTCTCCTTTTACCTAACTGTTTCTATTATTTTTAACCCTGCCACTAGGTGGAGCATTTGAAGTCAAACAGCACTCATTCTTCACCGACCTGGACTGGAACAGTTTGCTGAGACAGAAGGCAGAGTTCATCCCTCACCTAGAGTCAGAGGAGGATACTAGCTACTTTGATAGTATGTGTTTTTGGCTGTATGTGTCTCTTAAGTATGACAGTTACATGAATATTACTTTTAAGGGTTGTGCATACACTTTGTGACAATGTACCAGTAAGAAATCCAGAGGTTTGAATTGTGGACTCTTGTAAAATCCACCCAGAGGTTTGAATTGTGGACTCTTGTAGTACTTCATGGCCTCACTCTGTCATCCACCAGCTCGTTCTGATCGTTATCACCACATCAATACATACGACGAGGATGACACCAATGACGACGAGCCGGTGGAGATCAGACAGTTTTCCTCCTGTTCTCCGCGCTTTAGCAAGGTCGGATATTTCAACTCCTGTTGAGTTTTTTTTATGCATCACCCTTCAGTGTAGTTTGCATGGTTTGGATAGTTATGGTGTTTCAGTCTTACTGCATCTTTCATCCATTATAACAAAAGCAGTAGTATGTGATCACAGCACATATTTGCACAGCTCTACCTCTCACTCATACCTTACCTGCAACATTTCCTCATAGTCTTTTAAATAAAAACAGCTAACACACCATATTATTATTGATTGTAAACGTGTGCCCCAGCAGGTTTACAGCAGCATGGAGCATTTATCACAGCTGGAGCAGAAAGCTACAACATTTGGGTCCCGTCGTGAGACCATGGGCCAACAGGATGACAAAGTGAATAAGAGGGAGAGCCTTGGCAGCTTCACCATGAGGGATAAGAGCTGGAGGACTGGATCCCCTGAGATGTAAGTGATGGAGATTTTTTAACGTACAGACGTGGAGATAAAGTCGTGCAATACAGTAACTTGTTAAAAGTGTTAGGATTAAATTGTGCTCTACCAAAGGTTACATTCAGAGACATGGTGTGAATGGTGAAATAAGTGGTGTCTTTATACAATAGTACATGCACAGCATGGTTGTGTGACATAAACCAGCTCAGTACACTGGTACAATTGGACAAAAAGTGTTTTAAAATTATCACCACTGAGCTCGAGGCACAGTGCTGTGACTGTAGACCTACATGCAGCAGATATGATGTGATAGCTTTCAAATCTTCCTCCCACAGGAAGCGCTTGTCTTATTCGGAGTCCCTTTACATGGAGGGAGACGCGAGCCCTCCTCTTGGTGTCCGTCGGCGCTTCTCTGCTTTAATGGATACACATCGTTTTGTCTCAACCCTAGAGGGTGAGCAAGACTTCCTGTCCCGTCAGGCCCCAATCAAGGTCCGTGGAACCTCTCTGGATGGAACTGGCATTCCTTTGCCAAGCGTGCTGGAACAAAGAACCAGTCTCAAAGACATCAACGGAGCGTGTATGTTGCATCTTAAGGTCTACAGAGTAGGGCAGAGGAAGTAAAATACATATACCAGGGAGTGTAACAGTAAAATGGTTCAAATAATTAATAATTCATTTTATTTTTTATTTTATTTTTTATTAGTCTGGGCACCAAAGGTGAGAGAGCATAACCTATTTGAAAAATTAGTGCCATCTCAGTTCACTATTCAGCTATAATATCCATTACTGTTCCTAATTTTAGGTGTGGTTCCATTTTTGTATTTTTCATGTGACTTTTTGTCTTTGTAGACAAGCCTAGATCTGGGGAGACAAAACCTGAAATAACACCAGCTGTTAACGCAGAAACTACTACATTTCACACAAGACATGCAGCAACCGGCCGTGATGAGATGACCCCTCTTCATGACCCTGTGGTTCCCCGGGCCACCAACGATCTGGTTCGCCGCAGGGCACGGCAGCAACATTTGTCTGGTGATGGAGACAAACACAACTCCAGACCCACCAACAAGGTCATCAAGTCAGCCTCTGCAACAGCCTTGTCTGTCATCATACCATCAGGTGAGAGTCACCAGGAAAGATATGAATAAAATTGCCTAGGAAACACGACGATGTTTCACTCTGAAATGATTAAATGTTTCTGCTCTCCCCTCTTTCTGCACTCAGTTGAGCAGCATGGAGGTTTCTCTCCTTTGGCCAGCCCCATGTCTCCCCATTCTTTCTCATCCAACCCCTCATCCCGTGATTCTTCACCCAGCAGAGATTTCTTCCCAGCAGTTAGTGTACTGCACTCCCCCATCACCATCCATCGCTCTGGAAAGAAATACGGTTTCACCCTCAGGGCTATCAGGGTCTACATAGGAGAAAGTGACATCTACAGCGTGCATCATATTGTTTGGGTAATTCACCTGGAGTTCTCTGGACTTACAGTAGTACAGTATGCATTATACATTTGTTGTGTGAAAGCAGTGATATTTACTACAGTCCAAGTTTAATTGAATGGGATGCATATTTAAAATGAGCTGAACCCTCCTGCAATCACATTTAGTATCACCTCATATATTTTAGTCCAGCACGAATATTAAATCGTTAGACATTAAATTGATTTTGTAAATTCCTATGGTTAGTTGTTAATCTAAGGTCTACCAGGCAGGAGTGCTGGCTCATGATGTCTGTTCGCCCCCAGTTAATCTTTGTAATAGGTATTGTTACTCTCTTCTGTCTTTGTGTGTTGGTGTGTTAGCATGTTGAGGATGGTGGTCCTGCCCAGGAAGCTGGCCTCTCAGCTGGTGACCTCATCACCCATGTCAATGGGGAACCTGTTCATGGTCTGGTTCACACTGAAGTGGTTGAGCTTATTCTCAAGGTAGGTCTTAATTCAGACTTCTCCTGTAGATCAGTACAGCCATTTTACTACAAATGTGTGTTCTGTGTCACGATGGGATGAGCTAAGAATTAAGATTTCAAACTGGTGATAAAGTTTGTGTAAGTCATTATTATAAACAGTTGGCATTCTAGTATAAAATTAAATAATATCCAGTGTTGTAAGTAATAACATACCTAATAAAACTAAATCAACCTTTCTTAACCTTGAGTTTTTTTATAAATGTTAACATCCTCTCACATTTTGAGTTGAATGTATCATTACTTCTAGAAATAACTGAATGTATTTCATATTTTTATCCCTATGCAGAGTGGCAACAAGGTGACAGTGACAACAACACCTTTTGAGAACACCTCCATTAAAGTGGGACCTGCCAGAAAGGCCAGTTACAAGTGCAAGATGGCCAGACGAAACAGGAGGACCATGGGCAAAGACAGTCAGGACAGGTGGGTCCTAAGACAGGTCTGCTGTCATTTATTAAACCGTGCCTTTATTATAAATAGTTTATAGCTTTTACAGTACATTGTACAATAACATTGCATTCCAAGCTCAATAGTCGACATATGATGTTGATGAAGTAATTTCATACAAAGTATTTTTTGTCACAGGGTCCATGCTGTCATGCAGCCAAGAAGTGATACTTCAATTATTATCAATCAATGATTTAAATTAAATAGTGTTTTAGTGGTGTCTGGTTTATATTATAACCTTTTTTGTCCGTTTTTTTATCTCTGTCTTATAGTAAAAAACGTAGCTCCTTGTTTCGAAAGATCACGAAACAGTCCAACCTCCTGCACACCAGCCGCAGCCTGTCTTCTCTGAATCGCTCTCTGTCCTCCAGTGAGAGTCTTCCTGGCTCCCCAACACACAGTCTGTCTGTGAAGTCTCCAACCCAAGGCTACCGATCCACAACTGAGACCTCTTACCTAGGTAAAGTACTGCCAAACACTACAAAGGTTTAAAATAAGAGCTGTGTGTATCAAAAATCCTAATGGAACTTTTGTGACCCGTTTGGTCTTTTAGGTGCCTCACAGAACAGCTCTTCTGCCTCTAGCACTCCAAACTCCCCTGCTCCCTCACAGCACATGAGGCCCAGCTCCCTGCACGGCCTTTCACCTAAACTCCACCGCCAGTATCGCTCCGCCCGTTGTAAATCAGCTGGTAACATCCCGTTATCTCCACTGGCCCATACACCATCTCCAACCCAATCTTCTCCACCATCTTTGCCTGGCCACACTGTAGGGAGTTCCAACACTACTCAGTCTTTCTCTGCTAAGCTCCATTCATCGCCCCCTGTTGTCCGTCCCAGACCCAAAAGTGCTGAACCACCTCGATCACCTCTTCTCAAACGAGTGCAATCAGCAGAAAAGCTGGGCTCACCTCTGACCCAGCCCAGTTCTACAGGAGGTCTGGGGGGTCCTCTGAGGAAACACAGCCTGGAGGTGCAGCACTCTGAATACCGGAAGGATGCCTTCCTCTGTGAACTTGGACTCCAGAGCCTGTTAGAAACAGATGGGGAAAATATGCCTCCTAATCCGCCACCTCTTCCCTTGTGTTCCACTGCACCAGAAACTGGTGTGCTGAAGCCTGTAAGGAGACTAGGAAGGCAAGAGTCACCACTTAGCAGGGAAACACTGCTGGCCGGGAGGGAGAAGGAAAAAAGAAGGGACGAAGAGAAAGGGAGACACTCTGACACTGGAGCTGGTCTGTTTGTCACAACGTCTCCTAAGTCGGCCCTAACAAGAGGACCTCATACCAACGACCCACACTTGGACTCACAATGCTGCAGACAGGATGCCACACATACTAAAGTTGCACCTCCTAGCACCATAAGAGAAACAGCAGCAGATGGCTGTAATCAAAAATCTTCTGAGAAAATCCATCAGTCTCAGACAGACTTATCTCAAAAACAGTCAGACTTAAACAGAGGCAAAAGTGTAATGCCTGACAGTAAAAGTGTACAGGGGCTGCAGACGGGAGCTGACACTGCATCAAAGCTGGAAGGAAACCATAAAAATATTCAGAGTAGACCCAGATTACCTGGGGCTGCCTTCACTGAGGGCTCTGCTCCCGATCTGGAAAAGTCCATCAACTCTAACATTACTGCGACTGCTCTTCCTATGAACAAAATATTAAAACCAATAGCTGTAGTGGAAAACCAAAAGAAACCTAAGAGCAGTGACTCAAGGACTCCTGACCTTATTTCCAAGAGCCCCAAGCTACCTGCCTGGACCCTGCCTCCTGTTGTTCCCTCACATGGGCAGCCACTCTCACTGGGCAAGGTAAGGCAGGGTCTTGGTGCAGTCAACTGCTACAGGGGAACGCTCGATTGGGAGGACAAATGTCGGCTAGAGGCGGTGGAGGAGCATTCGCCTTCACCTTCTCCCTCTCCTACAGCCGTGACTCCTTCCCTATGTGGGCCGTCCCTCTGTAAATCCAGACCCGCTTCCCCCGGGGACAAGATGAGCTTTGTCAGTCAACTGACCACAGTGGCCAAAAATGTCCTCGGCCCCATAAAGCTTGTGTCCCAGGAGGGCCCTAAGAGCAAGGACCAGTATACTAAAGCCGTGGAGGAGAAACAAGGAGGTGCGACAGTAAAGTCTGACACGCCTACTTTTACAGGAAGTGCAGTGGTCACCAAAAGTCCTGCTGGTTCACCACTAGAGAAGGCAGGAACAGGCAGCAGCCCAAAAAATGCTTGAAACCTTGGCCTCACGCCACATGCCGCCAGAACAAGTCAAGTACCTAAAGATATTTTACATTCCATTTAAAGTATGTATGTATGTCGTTTTTAACAATGTACTGGCAAAAAAATAACTGTTAAGGTGCATTTGTTGACTTTCTGATTCAGTAAGAAGTTCCTAATGTGGAACACTTTACCAATGCGTGTGTCTGATCACATCATTTGGTATGAACTATATGGGTTTAAAAGGTACAAGAGGTCAAAAGTGCTTTACTGTTTAAAACATGCTGAATACTGTGAATACCAAATTGCTAAATCCTTGTACATTTTTTTTATCAGCCAGTTCCTCAAATGCCTACCTAACAAGTCAATATGACAGGGTAAGAACCACATACGTACGTACAAATGTTCTTTTGTCAACCAACACAAATTATTCTCTAATTTAGTGTGGCGACAGTACATCATGTAGGCAACTAGAAGAGACAGCTGTGTTCAAGAAGAACCGTCAGTAGCTCTGTCTGTCTGTCTGTCTTTCTCTCTCTCTCTTTCTCTCTCCCTCCCTCTCTCTCTCTCTCTCTGAAGTGTGTGTGTGTGTGTGTTTCCCTGACAGAGCCTAGGCTTAGTGTTATCTGTCCTGCACAGCAGGGCTACCACAGCACTTTTCCTCCATCTGCTACTAAATACCCTTCCACATAACCAACAAACACATCCACAGGCAAGCTAATACACACACACACACACTCTGCCAAGAAAGGCAGCGGGGAGCAATTTAAGAAGACATACATGTACGCGCACACACGCGCGTCTTTCCTAAAGATGATTACATACTCCATGGTTTGTTGACTCAGCGAGGGTGCTGAAGAGTTGTAACACTTAAACAGGTTACACTGGCAAAGTCAAGAGTGATTTACATATGGTTCTGGAATGCATTAGTAAATATTGTAAACATATACAGTATAAGCATTTGTTGTTTTAAAGCACATCAAGAATGTAGGGCAACCCTGGATGTAGCATACTGGTCATGTTATTTTAAGGCAAGCTTTTGGATACAGGCATGGAATATGACACTGAATCTGGAATTATACACCCAAGAATCTTTACATTATGTGTAGTACCTTACAACACATCATACCGTGTTTTATACTACTACATGTTAAGGAGTGAAGTTGGAATAATGTATTAACATATGTTTTGCTCTAGAACTTACAAGTAGTGGAAAATAACTTTCAGCAGTAACTTAAAATGTAATTGTTTCTAGTGCACATCAACATAAAACAAATAATTATTTCTATTGTTCATATTACTTTCCATGGTTATCTCACTGTTTTTTTACAAATTTCAACAGCTTAGGGGTCATTTTCAGTTGATGCCATGTTGAACTGCTAGTTGGTCACAG